TTCACCAAACACGCAAGTACAAAACCTATCTCTCTCTATCTCTCTATCTCTCTCTCGCACCCTCCTTAAGTTCGGATCCCGGCGAACTTCGTGTTTCCACATGCCCTTTGATCTGACTGTGATCTTCCTTGTGCCCCTTGATCGGATCCGCATTTCCGTCTAACCTCAGACGTGCGTATGGATTCCTGCCGCATCTTGGGTTGTAATAACCGCACAAGTGTGGATCCAGTCTTTCTCTATGTCTCTCTTTCTCGTAGCCTCCTTAAGTTCGGATCCCGGCAAACTTCGCATTTTCGCCGGTTTATTGAACTGACAGTGGTCTTCCTGATCGCCTGTGGACTGCAACAACAGTCCGAGTCCGCCCGAATCTGGACTTCTCATTTTCCCCGAATAGGGTCACAGAACATGCTGGCCCGGCTCCTGCGTTCGAACTTGGCTGCATCCGGTGCCAAGCTACGCATATCGCCAAATTGGACAGCAGAAGAAGTTCGGATGTGGGCGGACTTCTCATGTTCAACTAGCCTTTCATGTGAGTGTGGACTTCCTGGATCGTCGTTGAGTTTAACAACCACAGAATTACGGATCATGTGTCTCTTTCAGCGTCTCTCTCTATCGCACCCTCCTTAAGTTCGGATCCCGGCGAACTTCACGTTTTCGGTTGTGCGTTGGTCTGTCTGTGGTCTTCCTGGTGCCCGATGGATCTCACAAACCACCCTAGTTTACCCGCGTCCGACTTCTCGTTTTGCCCATATGCAGTTACTGAGTGTGCTTGCACGAGCACGGCGTTAGAACGCTGGCTGCGTCGTCTAACGTGCTTCGAGCTATTGCGAAACCGGAAAGAAGAAGAAATTCAGGTGTCGGTGCACTGCGAATTCTCATGTGGCCTCTGATGCGACTGTGGTCTTGCTTGTTCCCCGTGGATTTTAAAAACCACAAACATACGAATCATGTCTCTCTTTCTGGCTCTCTCCCTCCCGCACCCTCTTTAAGTTCGGATCCCGGCGAATTTCACGTGCTCACCTGTCTGAATCGGGGTTCCGGAGGGTTTCTGTGCGCGGAGGCCACTGGCCCGTCTATCCGGCATCAGAGCTTCGCATACTGAGCGGAGGCCACTGGCCCGTCTAGCCGACAATCCCCTTGTCGCAGCGGGGCGTGCCCATGCGACGACCTCTGCCACTATGCTCCGACGACAGAGGATTTCAACTTCGGTTTCGGTGCCCGGGCAGCGCGAGCTATCCAATGGCATCCGATCTTCGCATACTGAGCGGAGGCCACTGGCCCATCCAACCGACAATCCCCTTGTCGCAGCGCGGTGTGCCCATGCCGCGACCTCTGCTACTATGCTCTGACGGTGGAGGCTTTCAACTTAGGTTTCGGTGCCGGGGTGGCGCGAGCTACGAACAGGGCTGCCCAGCGATTCTCACGCGACATGTCGTCTACCTACGTCCGCCGGGATCCGAACTTCAAAAAATCTCGATGTATCACTGACTCAGACACCCGTGTGCGGAATAACTTCGGTCCCAATGTGGTTGTCGCCCGACCATCTATAAGATGTGCCAAACAGTCGTTCATTGTCTTTGCAAATTGCCAAAAGCACTCTTAGGGGTCCTCGATGCGGGGTTTGGGTCCGTTCGGCGCAGAGTTTCATGCTGCCTGAACAGATTTGTGGTTCATTGACCACAAGGTCCAAGCCGCGAGAGCTTCGCGCTTCCTGAAAGTCATGGAGATCCCGGTTGGTGGGCCTTCTTGTTGGATCTGGATCTGTTTTTAGCAGAGTTTCGCACTCCACGAACAGAATTCCCCTCCAGTTTCCGCAGGTTATTAGTTGTTCGGGTAGTCTTTCGAGATGCTCAATCGCAACTGGGGCGAGCTTGGTGGGCCTTCTTGTTGGATCTGGATCTGTTTTGAGCAAAGTTTCGCACTCCACAAACAGAATTCCCCTCTTGTTCCCG